TAAAAAAAAATAAAATTTGAGTTAAAGTTAATATTTGAGATCTTGCAGACATAACCATTCTAGCTATGATTAAAATCTAGCTATGATTTTACAGACCATTTAAGATTATGCAACTTAACATTTTTTTAGCTATAATATGAAAATGGACACCATCACCTGAAGAATCTAAACTTAATATTGTTAATGACAATCATACCAGCTCTTTATCCACACACAAATGTTCTTTCATTTAACCTTCCCAAAAGCCCCGAGACAAGGTATCTCTTTGCAAATGAGAAAAAATAATGAAAAGACTTAAGCAGATTTGAACCACATTCTGCTACTGTTATTCCCAACAAGCTACCTCAGGACTGCTGGGGAAAAACATCTGAGAATGATTTTTATTGTGAATAAAGAATGATCATCTTTCAAATAAATCAACAGTGAGCTCTTGAATTAGGATGTAACATGTGACATACCAAGAACAGAGTGATTCAAATGTGGAATTATTGTTCCTTATACACTTCAAGCTATTAAAGCATACTTTCACAAATACAGATGATACTAAAAAATGAGTATTTTGTGCGTAGAGGTTGGTACCCGGGGTTCAACAGTGCCTACCTTTCCAAGACAAAGTCTCTAGCACCCAGTTACACCTCTAGGCCCCCAAAGGAGTACTTCATGACTGACTTACCCCAACATTTTCAGTTTATGCAGTACAGAGAGTCAGCAATTCATTAGCGTGGATAAGACAAGTACCTTCATAGAAAAAAAGTTTACTTGATATTTAAAGACAGTTCCTATGTCCTTAAGCCTCTATACATACGGACAGGGTGTACATATCCTTAAAAGATGATAAGTTTGATCTACGAAGCCAGAAACACTTACCGATAACATTATGCTTTGAACTGAAAGGATCTACAATTGTTTGATCTCTGTAACTTCGAAAACCCTGGATAATCACCTAATGAAAAAACAAAAAACAATTTTTTGAGAACACACATGAAAAAAACTTTAAAATCAATTTTAGCCGGCGGGGAGATAGCTCAGTAGAATACGTGCTTGCCTGGCAAGCTTAAGGTCCTGAATTCAATCCCCGGTACTGAAGGGAAAAAAAAAAAAAAAAAGCAAACTAAAACCTTTCGTTTCTTATTCTTTCAATGCAAGAATAGAATGCTTTTGACTTCCATACAAGAAATTATCATTTTGGATCGTGACAATTCTGCTAAAAAATCATCCTTGTCTCAGTAGTCTGACAATGCGGTTCCTCTTCTTAGGAGTAACCCGTGAAGGAATCCTCAAAACTAAGTGCATCTGAAATTAACTGGGTCACTGCACACTGCAACACCGTAGTACATAAATCTACCACGCAAGCAGACAGGTAGCGGCTTTCTGACTCGGGGTCCAGCAAGCGCCCCAAAACGCAGCCGAGACCCTAGCCAGCCTCCAAGACTCAATGCTCTAACGGAGGAGCGCTCGAGGCCGATCTATCCGATGGAAAAGCGCTCCCCAAACCGTGTGCGTGGGCCCACTTTTGTGGTCGACTCGGCGGGAAGACGATTCCGATGCCAGCGAACAACGACAGGAGACGCCCCCGGTCTCCAACGCGGCAGGTCCCCGCAAGCGTCCTTCCCAGGGAAATCCAGGAGCGCGAAAGCCCCGGATGACAGCTTACGCCCCCCCACCCCCCCCCCGGGCGCCCAGGCCGAGGCCGCCGCCGTCCCGCACGCCGC